CGGGGCCTGAACCCCTCAGATACCAGAGCCACAAGAGCAAAGGCATTCAAATGCAGTAGGAATCACTACTGAGCCTGGCAGAGGACTCGTGTCTGTGACAGAGAAGACAGAGTCTACCTGTTACTGCGCTGGACTTATATGATCTTTTTCCAAATTCTGATAAACTCTGAAACTTTCAGACAACTTACGAAACACAAGGGTGAAAGTTTTCTCAGGCCTTTTGAAACTAATACTATACATAGCAGAAAAATGACTGATATTGCTAAAATCTTCAATATTGCAGCCCAAAACTTAAACAATGTCTGAGATAAAGAGGTTTTTGTTTGTTTGTTTTGAGACAGAGTCTCGCTCCTCTCACCCAGGCTGGAGTGCAGTGGCGCGCTCAGCTCACTGCAACCTTGGCCTCCTGGGTTCAAGCGATTCCCCTGCCTCAGCCTTCTGAGTAGCTGGGATTACAGGCACCCACCACCACGCCTGGCTAATTTTTGTACTTTTAGTAGAGATGGAGTTTCGCCAATTTGGCCAGGTTGGTCTTGAACTTCTGACCTCTGGTGATCCACCTGCCTTGGCCTCCCACAGTGCTGGGATTACAGGTGTGAGCTACTGCGCCCAGTCAGGAGATTTGAATATACATTATAGTACCAAACTAACAGCTATTTCTGATCATTGAAACCTAGCAGGCTCCAAGTAAACATTGTTCATTACCCTATCTCGCCCCTTAGAAATTCTTTTTCTTTAAACATTCAGTTCTAACAGGCAATGTTTCATGTGTAGAAACTGAATTCAAGGGCTGGGTGTGGTGGCTCACGCCTGTAATCCCAGCACTGTGGGAGGCCGAGGCGGGTGGATCACAAGGTCAGGAGATCGAGACCGTCCTGGCTAACATGTTGAAACCCCATCTCTACTAAACATAAAAATTAGCCGGGTGTGGTGGTGGGCGCCTGTAGTCCCAGCTACTCAGGAGGCTGAGGCAGGAGAATGGCGGGAACCTGGGAGGCAGAGCTTATAGTGAGCCGAGATCATGCCACTGCACTCCAGTCTGGGCAACTGAGCGAGATTCCGTCTCAAAATAAATAAATAAAATAAAAAGAAATTCAATTCAAGAATTGTGCTGTTAAAGTTACCGATAAATTCAGTTAAAATACCTCTGCCTTTCCAATTCCCCTACAACTTTGCTTCTACAAAGGCAACTCCGGAGACTGTCTGGGTGCAGAGAGTGAGACATGTAGAGACGCTGACAGGGACACTTTCCCGAGGCTGATGTCCAAAGAGGAGAAGATGTCGGCACAGACAGACCTGGGCATGGACGCATATGGCCTGTGGCAGGTGCCCAGGCGGAGGAGGCCGAACAATGAAGGAATGGGGAAGCAAAATCACGTAGACTTTAGTTCCTGTAGGTCAACATGAAATCTTTAAAAGCCACCATCTGAGAACCACTATTTATAAATAACCCGCACAGCTTCAACATGCACTCTCGCCCTGGCCTCCTCCAGACGCAGCCCCGCAACACCTCCTTACACCCGCAACGGCACACGGGAAGGTGCCCTGGGAGCACTTGCTGTGATCACCGTCATTATCCGCGGAAAGAAGCAAGGCAGGAAGAAAACCACTCCTTTCTGATGCCAGAATTCACAGCTTAAGATTCTCATTTGTAGGGGTCTGGCAGGTGGCCTGTGGTTCCGGTGCCCGTCCTCCCAAGCTTTGACACCAGACACGTCATTCCGCTGAGCTCCAAAATAGCTCCAAACTCTAAAACGACCAAGGTTCTATCACCTACCCTTACTAACTTCACAAACATTATCATTGCTTCAATTGCAGCAAGAATTCAGCATTGTTCTTTGACCATCGTGGGCCTCTCAGAGGCTCTGCATAGGACTGGGGGCCACAGGTACTGAACAAGCAACAAAAGGCCTCAAAGGACAACAACCCTGGAAGGTCCCCAGGAAGAATGCACGCAACACACTTTCCACTAGAAAGCTCCTTCTGGCATAAGGACAGGATTAACAGAGCAGCGGTTCCGTACCACGGCGGGGAGAAGATGGGCATGTTGTACATTCTCCATCCCAAACTTTGGAGATAATTAAAAATACAACTTTCTAGTTGCACAGCCCGAGATCCTGGTGACGTTTTCCACGCTGGCCGGAGCTGCTGCGTGTGACCAACGGAGAGGCATTCCTGGGGAAGGAAGTCTGGCCCCTCCACCTTGCTGGTAAAAAACTTAACATTTCATCTCTGCTGTGGCTTCCAGCTGCCCCGGGGCACCCGCTGACGAGGTCGCTTGGAAACAGAGCACAAGGAACCAGGAAACATATTTTGATGTGGAACCAGAACAGTGGGAAAAGGTTAACTGCAAACCCCAGAAGCGAGTGTGGGACATATTTACTGAGCTTTGTTTGTGTTAACGCTCAGAAATGTTTCGGGCATCACATCTAACCGGGCGCTCTGCAGCCAGAAGATAAAGCTAACAGGGTCACATGGCCACGGAATTCTTGCTGAAACTCCCAAGCAGAGGGAAAAAACAGCCTCCCATACTTTCCAACCCCCACACCAAATACAGGCCCAAGGTGGGCAGGAGGGGCCGTGCCCACCAGAACATGATGTCCCTGTGGACACCTCGCCACCCAGGAGACGGAGAAGGAACCAGGACGAGCTTGCGCTTTCAAAGGCTGCCTGCCATTTTCACTGGGACCATAAGACTGGGGCTGAGGGCCAAACGGTGTTCCCCGCAAACTCACATAATGGAGTCCTGCCCAGTGTGGGACTGTGTCTGGAGAGACGGTCTTTACAGAGCAATGAAGTTCAAATGAGGCCACCAGGGTGGCCCCAACCCAGCAGCACCAGTGTCCTCATGAAAGGGGACATCTGGAAACAGACATGTATGGGGGACGGCGAGATAGGAGTCATGGGGAGAAGACGGCCTCTCTGAGCCAGGGAGACAGGCTGGGCAGATGATCCCTCACAGCCTCCAAAAGCAAGCCCCGATCTTGGCTTCCAGTCTCAGGACCCTGAGAGAAAACCTTCCTGCTGGGAAGGCCACTCGTCTGTGGGACCTTGTCAGGGCAGCCCCAGGAAACAAACACGCAGAGTTCACCCAAAGGTTCACCACTGCGTTACGTCCCAGTTACACCTCGACAACATCACTCTTCCCTTATCTCACCAGTTCAGTCAAGTTCACGGTGATGGACGACTTTGTCACCATGGAGACCATGAAGCGCATTGTACGTGACCATGTGCTGGAGAGTCAGTGCCACGGCGCTTTTACTTTTACTTACACGATGACAGTGATAGTACAGCAGGTAAAAACGGTTCTTAAATTTTCCCAATGCCTCCAACTGGATGGGATTTTTATTGTAAATTCAACCCAGGTCCTGACATAGGCTCGTTGTGATAACCTAGAATATGCCAGCCTTTTAAACCTTAAAGTATTGAAAACAGAAGTTGGGATAGAAAGGTCTTGACTGCGAGTCAAGAAGAACCAGTGGTGATCCTTGCTTTCTCTCGAAACCTCAGCTGACCACGATTCTAAGTATCACACCAGCAGAAAGGCAGAATCAGCCATCCGGCTGCTCGAAATACTGTCGGCTCTCACACTCTTTCTTTGACACAAGCCTTCAGGGAAGTTTAGGTGGGTTCGTTCCCAGCCTGGAGGAGCATTACCTGCTTGCAGCTCTAATTCTGAGACCAGAGCAGAGACAGGTCCTCCCAGAGCACCCTCACTGCCTGCCTTCCTCACCCTGGGGCATGGGGTCTGCACCTGCCCTCCCTGCCGCCTGGTCTCGCCTCCCGAGTGCTCACTAATAAAAAAGGAGTAGGGGGTGGGGAATGGGGAAGAACAACAACAAAAAAAACAACAGGAAAACACCCAGTCTGGAATGCCCCGGGCTGCGCGTGGCAAACGCCTCTTCCTGAGGACACAGCGGCAGCCCTGACGTCACGGGCCATGGGGCACTGCCCTCGACCGCCGGTGCGGACGTTTTCATGCCTCAGATAAAAATCCCGGAGCAGAAAGCACTCTCAGGGGCCACTCGCAGCCCACCTGCTGGGAAAGCTGTTTCGTTAGAGATAAAAACACCCGGCTGGTTAAGTGGACCCAGCGGAGTCCCAGCAGCCCCTCACACCGTTAAAAAGAAAAACCAACAACCTGGGACCCAAAGAAGGAGGCGCGTGAGCTCCCCCAGCCTGATGCCGCAGCCAGCGTCTCCGGGGAGCAGGAGGCCGCGCTGTTCCGAAGCGCAGGCTGGGGGCTCCGGGGCACTGCGGAGCTGCGGTCCCATCTGCACCCGAGGCAGGGCTGGTAATTACGGCGGGGGAGGAAGCGGGAGCAGCCGGCGGCCACCGCGGGGGGCCGGCACGTGCAATTCCCCGAGGAAGACACTGCGCGTGTGTGAGCCCGCCTGAGGGGCGGATGGCGTCTCCCGGAATTCCCACGTGGAAGCCCTGACCGCCAGCAGCGCCGCCCTCTTAGAAATGGGTGTTTGCAGGGACTGATCAGCAGGGCCCTGATCGGAGAGGACTGGAGACTTCGGACGGGAAACGCGCAGACGGAGGCAGGGGCGAGGCGCCCAGGGAAAAGGCCGCAGGAAGAGGAGGCAGACGTGGGGAGATGCTCCCTCCCGGCTCCACGAGGAGCCCACCTGCCCACCCAGGCCCCAGACACCGCCGCCCCGCCCCACCCGGCCCCGCCCCTCCCTCCCCTCCCTTCCCCGCCCAGCTCCACCCCTCCCCTCCCAGGCCCACCCCTCCCCTCCCCTCCCCTCCCTTCCCCGCCCAGCCCCACCCCTCCCCCCAGCCCCACCCTCCCTGCCCCGCCCAGCCCCACCCCTCCCCACCCGGCCCCACCCCTCCCGGCCCCGCCCCTCCCTCCCCTCCCTTCCCCGCCCAGCCCCACCCCTCCCTGCCCCGCCCAGCCCCACCCCTCCCCTCCCTGCCCCGCCCCGCGCGGCCCCACCCAGCCCCACCCCACCCCGCCCCTCCCAGCCCCGCCCCTGCCGCCAGCTCACCTCATGTAGGACGCAGGGGACAGGGGCTTGGGCTTCGCCCACTGGTATGGGTGCTGCGGCACCGCCAGGTACTGGTCGCAGAAGCCGCCCTTCCTGATGTGCTGGAAAGAGAAGTCTTCAGGCGCGAAGTCGGCCGGGGGCGGGGGGCTGCCCAGGTCCTCCCCGACGGGCTCCACCTTGAGCGCCACCGAGGGCGGCTGCTCCAGGGTGGTCTTGCGGGACTTGACAGGGACGCCGTCACCCAGGTCCAGGCTGCTGTCAGTGGTCAGCGCGTTGATGGCGGCCACGATGGCCGAGCTGGTGTACTGGGTGGTGTTGCCCAACCACGAGTCGTCGGTCACGCTGACCCGCGGGGAGCCGTGCGGGGACGGCGTGGGCGAGTGGTGGGGTGAGTAGGGCGGCTGCCGGCCGTTGAGGCTGTACTTCCTCTTGTTGCACGGGGACGCGGGCCTGGAGGAGCGGGCACCCAGCCAGCTCTCCTCAGTGACGCTGGCGCGGGGCGAGGTGGAGGGGGAGTGCCGCGGGGAACCCAGCAGCGTGCAGGCCCCCAGCCCGCGGGGAAAGCCCTCCTCAGGGTCCGTGGTCTTGGGAGACACGCAGGGAGACTGCCACGGCGACGTCTGGGGGGACGCGTACGGGTACGAGTAGTTGGACTCGTAGGAGGAGGCCTCTGAGTTGCAGCTGCGGGAGGACAGGCTGCTGGCCGGGCTCAGGCACGAGGGGTCTCTGTAGGCCTCCAGGCTGGGCAGACTCAGCGTGGCCGTGGAGGGGGACCGTTTGGAGCTGGGGAGGACGTCTTCTACCTCCACATCGTGGAAAAACTGGTTGTTGTTGTGGTACAGACCCAAGCATGAGGTTATCTCGATGCGAGGACTCTCCAGGGCAGGGGCCCCATCTGGCCTGGCGTGGCCAGAGGAGAGGAAGTAGCCCGTGGGCCCACTGTCCAAAGCTGCTCCGTACCCCGAGGGGTGATCCGCCGGCGGGACGATGCCCGGTGTGGAGGTCTGAAGGTTGTGGCATGGGGCCGGCAGGGTGGAGTGTGCTGTGGGGAGCGGCAAGGCAGGGCTGACATTGGAGGACGTATAGCCATAGTGTTCTAGAGAGAAAAAGAAGCAGATGGTGGCATGAGGGGCTGGGCATCACAAAGCAGAAACCCATGACCTCAGGGCAGCCGGCAGCCCCTGGCCTTGACGAACGGCTGGGGGGCCTCAGACCCCACGGAGCGGGCCTCTGCCAACGCCCTGAGACTACACTGCCCGACAGCTCCAGGCCACTTGGAGTAACAGGTCCCCGTGAGCCCCTCGCTGCCCACCTCCCCTCCTCCACCAACAGCAGCACAAGCCCCGGAACGTCCCTCCCAGACAGAGGCAGCCGGGTCCTCACCGGTTCCACTCTTCATTCAAAAACCACCTTCCCGAACCACCCCATCTTTATTTAAACGCCAAACACAACATGTGGGCCCTCGTTCTCTAGTTTATTTTTTCTCCTAAATACGTATTACAATCTAACAGCATGTTTTTACTCATTCATCTCACACTGTCATCTCTTTGACAAACAGAAACCTAAGTTCCATGAAGGCAGAACATTTGGATGCCTTAGTCTATTCTGGCTCACCACTGTTTTCAGAGCCAAAGACTGTGCCTGGCACATAAAGTGTGTTCAATTTGTTTAATGGATAAATGGTTGGTGGGTGGGTGGACAATGGATGATGGAGACAGGTAAATAAACTGATGGATGGATCATGATGGACATGGTGGGTGAAGGGATGATGGGTAGATGAAGGGTAGGTGGATGGATGGATGGTGATGGACAAACAAGGGAGGAATGAGGGATGAAGAGATGGACTATGGATGGGTGGATGGGTGGGTGGATGAATGGATGGATGATGGATGGATAGACAGGTAAGCGATGGATGAATGATGGATTGGGGATGGAGGCATGATAGATAACTGGTGGATGCATGGATGGATAGATGAACGGATGGTGATGGATGGATGGATGAGGAATGGAGGAATAAAGGATGGATGATGGATGGATGAATGAATGGACAGTGAATGGAGGAATAATAGATGGATGATGGATGATGATGCATGGATGATAGATGGATGATGATGGATGGATGGATGGAGAATGGAGGAGTAATGGATGGAGAATGGAGGAGTAATGGATGATGATGATGGATGGATGATGGATGGATGGATGATGGATGGATGATGGATGGATGGATGGATGGATGGATGGATGGGGAATGGAGAAATAATGGATGGATGATGGATGAATGATGATGGATGGATGGATGGATGGGTGGATGGATGGGGAATGGAGGAATAATGGATGGATGATGGATGGATGGGGAATGGAGGAATAATGGATGATGATGGATGAATGATGATGGATGGATGGATGGATGGGGAATGGAGGAATAATGGATGGATGATGGATGGATAGGGAATGGAGGAATAATGGATGGATGATGGATGGGGAATGGAGGAATAATGGATGATGATGATGGATGGATGAATGAATGGATAGGGAATGGAGGAATAATGGATGAATGATGGATGGATGATGATGATGGACAGATGGATGAGTAGATAGGGAATGGAGGAATAATGGATGAATGATGGATGGATGGATAATTGATGGATGATGATGATGGATGGATGGATACGGAATGGAGGAATAATGGATGGATGAGGATGGATGGATGAGGAATGGAGGAATAATGGATGGATGATGGATGATGATGATTGATGGATGGATGCATAGGGAATGGAGAAATAATGAATGATGGATGGATGATGATGGACGGATGGACAGATGGATGGATAGGGAATGGAGGAATAATGGATGGATGATGGAAGGATGGATGATGATGATGACAGATGGATAGGGAATGGAGGAATAATGGATGTATGACGATGGATAGATGGATGATGGATGGATGGATAGGGAATGGAGAAATAATGGTTTGACGATGGATGGATGGTGGATGAGAGGGTGGATGGATGGATGGATGTGTTTTAGATCTAAGGACCTAGAAATGTAAACAGATTTTAATAGGCCTATCACTGTCAAGGTGCTCTCATCACCAGCCGCAAAGAAAACTCCTCAAGGATTGGATGAAAACACAGACTCTGAAATCCCCCTCATGGAGATTCTGAAAGGGCTCATGTCCTAGGAATCCATCTTTTAGAACAAAACAGAAGATTCCGGTACACAGCTAATTCTAAGGATCATTATGTGTTAATTACACTCAAAATATTTTTAAAAATCATTATTAGGGAAATTAGTAATTTTAACAGGAAAGATGTGCTTCTGGATTTCTGATTTGAAAAGACTTTTTATGACATCTTGGAACCTCATGATTATATGCCTGGAGATGGGTATTCCCAGGCCTCTAAATAATACAAACAAGCACATGGAAATCCTATATTCATCTCCTGGTGCAAATGCACTGGCTGGAAGATTTTTATTCAAGGACAGTACTGTCTTTCTGCTAAGTTGTGGTTCAGAAACCAACAAGGATAAATGTCAAGAAAATCGAGGGTCTCAAAATACCAATCCAAACCCCACTGTATTTACTAACAGAAATGGTTCTAACGCGCAGATAGATGGGAAACATGGCATGGCGGCCTGGTAAGAGGACACACTGTGGCCTCAATGCCAGGAGTCACAGCTGCCTTCTGGAAATTCCAGACACTCAGGGGCCAGAGCTGTGACAAAGAGAAAGAAACAGAACTGCGATGGAGCCACACCTCACAGGTGTGACCAGAAGCTCTCGGGGATGGGAGCTGAGACCTGCTCAGGACGTCTTTGTATGGGAAGGGCCCCTTAGCTAAGGCTGAGCACCTTGGGGATGGTGCTAGCCAGGCCCCAGTCCCGCCTTCCCCATCATAAAGAAATGTCCTCAAGAGGACGGGAGCCACGCAGTCTCCTGCACCCAAGAGAGAACAGGAATTGTCAATAAATCCAGGAGGTGGCCAGGCACGGTGGCAGCTCACGCCTGTAATCCCAGCACTTTGGGAGGCCGAGGGGGCAGATCACCTGAGGTCAGAAGTTCGAGACCAATCTGGGCAACATGATGAAACCCTATCTCTACAAAAAATACAAGTAGCCAGGCAAGGTGGCGCGCGCCTGTAGTCCCAGTTACTCAGGAGGCTGAGGCAGCAGGATCGCTTTAGCCTGGGAGGTGAAGGTTGCAGTAAGCTGCGATCACACTACTGTACTCCAGCCTGGGTGACACAGCAAGACTCTGTCAAATCAATAAATAAGGAGGTCTTTCTTTTCCCAGAGCCACAGGTGGGGACTGGGGTGGAGCTGGAGCTGGGCATCCTGACGCCAATGCCAGCATCCAGCCTGGCCTCTGGTCAGGACACACACACCATCCCCGGGGGCTGCCCCAGCCGCGGAACGCCAGCACTGGGACTGACCACCCGTGTTCACCGGCATCCACTGGGCCCCCCATACTCCACGCCACGCTCCATGCTCACTGGACACTTCAGGCAAACACCAGGCTCCAATGCTAAAACTCCGGCGACCATCTTTCTAAAAATGGAGCTGAAAAGCAGCTTCCTGGAGAAGGTGAGGCTTCCAAGGAAAATCTGAAGTCCTCCGATCTGCTGGTGATACCTGGGGGGCTCTGGGCCAGGCAAGCAGTAGCCCTCTGAGCGCTCCGCCTGGGCGTCACAGTGGCCCCTCCGCGGCCCGTGCAAAGCTCCTGAGCCGGCTGCGTCAGACCCACTGGACAACAGGCCACACAGGCAGGTCCCCCTCTGCCTGGCGCCCCACACGCCCGGGTGCCATGCTAGGCCAGCCCTGATGTCTGCCCAGCGCACAGTGCTGCAGGAGACCCACAGAGCCATGACCAGCTCTGCGTCTGGGGGTCCCACGGTGGACACAAGGAAGGCGGGGTGGGGGACCAATGAGGGGGTTTTGTCAAGCGCAGGCCTGCGGCTCCTGGGGGGTTCCCATTGGGGCACCACACAGAGCCACCTGTTCACAGGTCTGCAGCTCCTGGGGGGTTCCCGCTGAGGCAGCATGCCGAGCCACCTGTTCACTACTCTGCATTCTCACCAAAAGTTGTCTGAAAGATATTCCTTAGCCAGAAATGCTACGTTATACACACCAGCGCAGGAACTCACACCCACACTTAGTGCTGGGCCCGCTTATTTGTCTAGAAGCCCTTTCGCCTGTTGGAGCAGAAACATAACATTCCGTTAGGAATGAGCTTCCATCTCAAACCAGTCATCAACTCCAGGAGACGCGGAAGCACAGGAGCGGAGCTGAGGGAACATGAAGGCGGCGTGGATCCGATCACGGAGGCCCAACCTCCCTCCCACACCCCGACTTCCTCTCGGAGGTATCCGTGGTCTTCAACTGGCTCTTCAGGCCCCACCTGCTCCACACACTTCCCCTCACTGTCCAGACCTCAAAGGGGGCTTAACTGCAGTTGATTAATGTACAGATTCCTATACTTCCTGTTTCCCAATCAAAAGAATATTTATTTCCAAGACAGCTGATGCCACAGTTGAACTACCATTTGTTGGTGGGAACGTAATTCTGAAGAATTTTTTAAAATCCTAGCAATTAACAGAGCAAATCTTGGGGCCTCCCCACCACTAACCCTCCCACAGTACTCAGCCCTGAAACGGGTGCCCAGCCAGTGGCAGAGCCCAGAGCTGGGTCACATGGGGTACTAGAGCCAGATCACCGGAGGGTTCTAGATGAAACGGGGCAGGAAAGGGGAGGCGGACCTCACAGGTCTCTGTGTGCAAGTCCTCTGGGGCTGTAGCCCTTGATGTTTATGTGACGGGGCCCGGGCATGAGAGGAAGTGAGGAAGAGGAGGAGACTCCACCCGCAGCCAGAGCAGGAAGTGCATGCAGCGAGGCCCACGGACGCCCAGGGCACCAGGGGGCCTTTATTTAAACTAAAGTATTGCAATAAAACCTGATTCAATGAGGCAAAGAAACACCATAAAGCTTTTATAAAAAAACAAAAAGGGCTCACATAAGCATGAGTTTTCCCTGATCAAACAATGGCAAAATGAAAGCTCAAATGCCTGAATTTCATTAGGATCCCCTGCCCAGGTCCTT